TTACTTGTTCGGTAAAGTAAGAGGTACTTCACTTTACTTTACTTTACTTTATGAAAAGGAAAATAAAGTTAAAGTGCCACCTCTAATCCTGGTAAGTAACTTACAACCATGGTTCCTAAGCAGATCTGCCAGTTTTTTTTAACGCCATGAGTATAACGGAAGTATGACTAGAATATTCATTGCAAAGAATCGAGACAGAAATGAAATAGATATTCATCACGAACTTTCGTTTATCTGATCAACTGATGATTTTTTCTTAATCAGAAGTCTATCGAGTGTATTTACCTGTATGAAGCGCACACAATTTTATTGATTTAATGGTTCTTTCTCGTAGAATTTTGTCCACATTTAACACAGTTAGCTTTCTACGTGTGTATCCTATTCTATTTATGATCTTTTCGTGATTTTCGATATTGAGATTGAACTATCGAAATAATGTCACTGGTTATTTCATAAGATAAGGCCTAAAGACGATACTTTCACGCTTCGCAAGTTTACCTATCGAGAAGAATGAGTCGATCGTTAACAGCGAGTGTGAAACCTTTGTGTAACATAAAAATGCTTAGCAGTGAAATCGAAAACCTTTTCAGGGTTGGTATGGATGTGTGAGTGAAAATAAGAGCCCCATCCACTCACACCCACACCCATACCCTCCACACACCCACACTCCACATTCAATAAATCACGCTCAAACATCCAATCCCACCTATCCATGTACCTAGTACAAGTACCTCAGGTTCGTTTAGACTCGTTTAAGCTCTGGCTGAGCCTAAGTCCGACCAAACCTGACCCTGCCAAAGCCAAGCTCCACCTGCTCGATCTAAGCTCGGGCTCGGCACATGCCTAATTCCACTCACAACTATACGTCTACATTCAATAAGTGTGCGGGTGTGTGGGTGCGGATCTGGGTGTGATGCTTTGTGGATTAGTGTGAGTGGGTGTGGTTATGGTGAGCGAGCTGTGACAACACCACACCTAGTCATGCACATCCAACACGCGCACTCAACTATCCGTGTATCAACAACCACAGAGAATCCCTCGTACCCACACCCACCCACACCTTAGATCCACACACACCCAGACCCACCCCACACCCACACCCATCCACACTCACGCCCGCACCTCACACCCACCCACACCCACACCCACACCCACACCCACCCCAAAAAGACAAAGTTTACAAAAAGAAGGAACTTGTTATTAGCAAAATTGTCTGTACTTTCTTATAAAATTCTATTTTATATTACATATTTTGTCGATATCAGCAACCTTTGGCTAATAGTATAAAACCTTCTAATGCATTTTGTACTGTATACAACGAGATTTAGCTATGTTTGATGTCTTCAGAAAGATTAAGTTATAGAATGTTTTCATGGAAAATACTTGATTTATTTGCTTATATATTCAACTGATCTATATATGAAAAATTAAGCTGTTTTAATTCTCTGCTGAATAGAATGTGAATATATGAGAAACAATTATTTCTTGCTTTTCTTTACATAAGGATATGATTCATGTCGAATACAATTAAATCTGGACAATAGGGTATGGTGTGGATGAAGAGAATATCTATATTCAAATCAGAAAAAGTAAATTTTATTGGTACATATCAATATGTATCCGAAAGACTTTCTTTGTCCAAAAATGAATTAACAGTTTTTTTTCATACGATATAATCACAAAGAGTATACATTCACACTAATAAAAGAAATATCGTATGTTTACACTTTGATATGTTAAATACCTTTTTTGTTGTAGGAAATCGAATTAGTATTTTTTCGATAAGATTCAGCCGCATCAAAGTGATCCAATCTCGATCATTGATTTATTTTTCAACATGTTTTTGGACTAAATTTTACTACAGTACGATACATTTTATTTTAGTATTTTGACTGAGCCGAATGCCACAAGTCAAACTTGTCGATGATAGAAAATATTTCATATTGTTTCATGTTTTTTTTTCTCGAAATGAAGGTTTTTGAAACAGTCATTCTCATTGATATCACTCAGATGCTTTCTTACGGTGAAAATAAGAAATTGTTGAACAGTCGTTCGATTTTAATGATCTTTTTAACATTATACTAATCATACTTCGTACATACATTCTAACGTTCTTTTAACACACAGGGCAGAAATTTTCTCATTGTCACTGTGATGCACATTAAAATTGTACGAATCTCACATGTGGACAAACACAATTTGAATATTAGTTTTTTATGAATCTTGGATATCAATGGAACAAGATGTCTTTTTATTATACCATATATATTCCAAATGAGTTTAATATAAATCCAAAAAACATATTAACAAGCTTATGAGTGATGATAAATTCATTCTGTCAGTCTTACTGAGATACGGTCATGATTACATTTTACACACTGAAAAAACGGGAATATAGTAGTACTTGTCTAATAGTACTTGGAAATAAAATGCAACTTTCATTATCACATATGGCATCAGTATCCAGAAATAAAACTATTTTCATTCAAATAATAACTGTTCTATCGAAATAGAAAAAAAAACCAAAGGTTAATTTTATTTTAAAATCCATAACTGCAAGTAGACAATTTTTAAAATATTGTAATAGCAAATCAATAAAAGCTTGCACGGGTTTCATTCCTAAATACATAGATAAATATTTTTCTGAGTATAATGAATATTTTGTTTATATAAAGGGAATTTTCTGTCTTTCTAACGACCACTTTTAAACCATGTAAGTATCGATGGAAAGAACTCTACAAAAAATGCAAAAGAGATGAAAATAATGACATTATAAATGTAACTAATATCATGATAAATATGAATCATATGTAATTAATAAAAACCTAAAATAATTCATTGTAATACACTGTAAAAATTAACTGAATAATTGTAATCACATAGTAATTCATTTCCAAGTAAGATTTCTTTTTCTTTGTACTGTCCTTTCCATCAACAGTTAAATATTTGAAAATCGTGATTTGTATTAACAAAATATTTATTATACTCAGAAAAAACTTATTTCTCAATATATATGACGTAAAAATCTCAAAATATCTACACATTTTAGTACTTTCATTGAATTCATAATACGTACTTCAATACTCAATTATATTCGAACTATTATTATTTTACTTGAACAACTCGTGAATGATGAACAGTATATTGGGGGAGCAAGCAGAAACTGTTGTTCTATTGTTGTTTGTAACAATATTGAATTTATTCTTCATTTTCTTCTACTCACATTATCAGACAGCAAGTCTTATGCATAATAAAAAAATAAAACTGACAATATCTTTATTTGTTTCGAGATAATGAAAGACAAATAAAAACTGAATGAGATAAGACATCCAACGCACTGACTTTCAAGTGACTATTAACTACGTATATAGATGATAAGAAAACGAAAGTTGGAAAGAATAACCATAAAATAAATGATATTGCTGGGTTTTTTTTCTCTACCTTTTGTTACTGACAACGATACTTTTAATAACATCCAGGTGAAGTTTGACCTTGAGTTTCAACGAAAAAAACAATCGACATCCAACGTATAAATAGCAAAAGTAATATCTATTCAAACAACAATCTATTTACTAATCAAGCAGCAAAAATGGCATCAAAAATGACTCGATATCAAAGACACCGCATGGCTGAAAATTATTTGGTCATATGGGTCGATGGAAATATCGACATGGCAAATCAAGATTGCCAAAATACAATGGAACAATTACGTGCTGTCGTTAACCAAGTCCAGCCATGTGAGACAGCGGAACAATGTATACAACAGCTCACAGAAAATCAAGAGGAGATCTCATTTGTTATCTCCTCAGGTGCAATTGGACAACATTTGGTACCAGATATTCATGATATGGCAAAATTAAATGCCATTTTTATATTTTGTGGCAATAAACAACGCCATCAAGTATGGGCGCAAAATTGGCCGAAAATTAAAGGTGTTTACACCTCAATCAAACATATTTGTGACAAATTGGCAACAGCAATCAAACAATACAATCAAGGTCACATGTCGGTAAGCATTGTTAGTGTGAATGCAGGAGGTTCTAGCAAGAATCTAGATCAGCTAGAGCCTTCTTTTATGTATTCACAAATATTCAAGGAAATACTCCTTGAAATCGAACATGAACCACAAGCCGTTCAAGATTTGGTCACCTACTGCCAAGAACAATATCAAGGCAATAAGAATGAAATCAAAATTATCAATGAATTTCAACGTAATTATAAAGCATCCGACGCCATTTGGTGGTATACACGCCAATGTTTTACCTACAAAATGTTGAATGGCGCATTAAGAACACTCAATGGTGATATAATGATCCGAATGGGTTTCTTTTTATGTGATGTGCATCGACAAATTGAACATTTACACAAACAACAGGTCAGTCACTCTGATGGAGAGATCTTCAATGTCTTTCGAGGGCAAGGCCTATCGAAAGCTGATTTTCAAAAGCTCGCAGAAAACAAAGGCGGGCTTATTTCTTTTAACAACTTTTTATCTACCAGCACAAATTCAGATATCTCCCTTGTTTTCGCCAAAGAAGCCTTGAAAATGACTGATATGGTTGGAATTCTATTCCAAATAACCATTGATCCTACAGTATCATCAACTCCATTCGCCTCCATTCGAGAGGTGAGCTATTATAAGGAAGAAGAGGAAATTCTCTTCTCCATGCACACCATCTTTCGCATTGGTGAAGTGCGAAAAATTCACAACAAACATGCACTTTATCAAGTCGATCTTAAACTTACGTCAGATGATGATCCACAACTTCGAGAATTAACTGACTTTATACGAAAAGAGGTCAGCGGCACTGGATGGCGTCGAATGGGTACATTGTTACTCAAAATAGGTCAATTCAACAAGGCCGAAGAACTATATATGACACTGCTAGAACAGGCATCGGATGATACTGATAGAGCATACATTTATCACCAGCTCGGATGGTTGAAAAACGATCAAGGACAATATGAAGAAGCAGTTGCATTTTACGAACAATCTCTGAAAATCTATCGAAAAACTCTTCCGGAAGATCATCCTGATTTGGCTACTTTGTCCAGCAACATCGGTCAAGTGTATAATAACATGGGTGACTACTCAGAAGCACTTGAATTTTACGAAAAAGATCTAGAAATCACAAAAAAAGCTCTGCCTTCGAATCATCCAGATTTGGCTACTTCATACAGCAACATCGGTCAAGTGTATAATAACATGGG